CTGGAGAACACTTCAGGTCCCTACTTCGCTGTCTCTCTTGTCTCTGTCTCTCCTCTGCATTCTGGCTTTGCGCCTCTACTGCCTGACTTGGCCCTAAGCCACCATTCAACCTCCTCGCCCACCACGCCCCACGCCCATCACCTTCCTCTCGGGCAGCCCCCCAACACACCTGGCCACACCCGATCTGGGCAGTCTTGCCCTCTTCCTCCCCCATCCAGCCGGGCCCTGATCAAGCCCCCTCCTTCAGGAAGCCCCCTCGTTGTGGTCTGTGGTGCTTTCATGACCTTTATTCCTCCCTGCCCAACAGGTGGGATGGGGGTAGGAGGAGCCTCTCCCTTCTTCCCGACACGCGTGCGAGCGCCGGGCACAGTGGTAGTAAGAGGCAGGCTCTGGCGCCTCTGTGAACTCCTTTCGGCTCTGAGGGCTCCTCCCCTAGAGTGATCATGTTGAGGGGTTCCACATCCCTCTTCTCTGGGTCCCCCGCGCCCCCGGCCCCTGCACGGAGGCCCTGGCTGCTGCGGTGGCTTTTGCGGCGGGAGGGAAGAAGCGGCAGAGATGAAGGGGTGGTTAGATTCAGGCGGGGTGGCCGGGCCGCCTGCTGGGGCGGCTTTGTTCTCCACAAGTCGGGCTCCAGGGTAGCGCCTCTCGTTCTCCAGGTCCTGTCCATACTCCCCGGAATTCTGGGGCCCCGCCTTGACCTCCCAAGCCTTTGCTTGCTTCCGCAGCCACATCTGTCGCTGGCCACCTGGAGCCCCGGCCGAGGGGACAGTCAGGCCGGGCGGCCCTGGCTCCTGCCGAGATGGGCAAGGAGAGTCAGAGTGGGGCCCCAGGGGGCGGCACACGGGGGACTCCGGCGGGGCCGGTTTGCCGGGCTCGGGGAGCGGCTGGCCTCCGTCGTTTTCTCTGCAGCAGCTGACGGGCACCGCGGGCGGGGCCGAAGGGTCTCTGGCGGGGGAGACGCTAGGGGCCTCCCGGCTCCACCCCGGCGCGGCGCGCACAGGGGCTGCAGGGTCAGACGGGTCTGGGAGCCAGGGGGCCGCAGGGCGAGGCCAGTGCGCCCCCTGGTGTCGGAGGTGGGGACGGGCCACGGCGGCTCCGCAGGGCCAAGATGGCCGGGCTGGGCGCCCGCCTCGCCCTCCTCCCCCCGACCCGCTCCGGGAAGGGCCCCCGAGGCGGGGACGTGCCGCCGCCTCTCCGCGCGGACAGCCGTGAGCCCCTGGAGTGACCGCAGCGACGCGGGCCCCAGCCTGAAGTCACGTCCCCGGGGACTCCGCGGCCGCCGCGCCGAGCCCGAGGGTCGCTCACGCCCCGACTGGCCCCCAGCCCGCGGGGTCCGCACGCGGGCACAGAACTGGGCGCTTTTTACTACTCCAAGGTTTACTTCCCGACCCTGTAAACGTGCCCCCGCGCGAGGGCAGCCGGGACCGCAGAACATTGTCTGCGGTGTGTGAGGTTCTGGCGTCCGCTCCAAATCCCAATAAAAGTCGCTCTGGTGATTTATTTGCTTATCCTAAAAATTCGTTCTACCTACGGACTTCCAAGGCTGCGTTGTCCGGGAGATAACTCGAGGCATGGATGCCTATTGAGCCCTTGAAGGATGGCCACCAAGGAACCCAATTTATTTTTTTAATTTTATTTTTGTTGTATTTTGATATCATTAATCTACAATACATGAGGAACATTGTTTACTAGACACCCCCATCACCAAGTCCCTCCCACAAATCCTATTAGTCACTGTTCATCAGCTAGTAAGATGCTGCAGTCACTACTTGTATTCTGTGTTGCACAGCCCTCCCCGTGCCTCCCCCATTATTCATGCTAATCAAAATGCCCCCTTTCTCCCCCCCCCTTTCCTTATCCCTCCCTTCCCACCCCTCCTCCCCAGTCCCTTTCTCTTTGGTAACTGTTACTCCATTCTGGAACCCAATTTTTTAAATCTTATAATTTAAGAACAAGCAGTATAAATATTTCTGTAACAACTTTTTTTGGTAGGACTACATGCCTACCATTCAAACAATAAAAATGTCCAAACTGAGATGTGCTGTGTAAAATTGATACTAGATTTCAAAGAGTACAAAAATAAGAATACAAAAGATTCATTTTTAAATAGCAATTACATGCTGAAATAATATTCTGCTGAGTTTAATAAAATGATCTTGCTGTTTTTTTTTTTAATGTGGCTACTAGAAAGTGTTAAATTACTTAGGTCTATAGCATTCTATTTCTGTATTTCTGCTTTAACGAGTGGGTTGGCCTAAATCTAAGTTTTATTTTCTAACTCCACTGCAGGCCCCAGAGGTTGGGGACACTGATATAAGTGGAAATGGGGATATGTGTGGGCAAAGGCCTGACCGTCAGGGCCCAAGCCTGTGGGAGTGACCCCTCCTCAGGAGGTCAGCTAGGCTCACAGGGTCAAGTAGGAGGCATCTCACAAGGCGAGCCCATAAATGACATCCATCCCATAGATGGCAGGAGGAGGCTCACACAGGCACTGGTGTCCAGAGCCCCAAGGTACTGGAGATGGGCATGGGATTTGGCATGGCATGAGCTCACGGAAAGAACACTCATTTATGGCCTGAAGACCTACGTTCCTCATTGGTTGTTCCACTCACTATCTGTGTGCCCAAGTCTCTTATTTAATTAAGCAATTCATATGAAATGGACCAAATCCTGGTCCACTTCTTAAAGGACTTCCTGGGCCAATGTATCACTAGGATAAGCCCCCTTCAGTCACTGCTGATGGGCGTTATCTCTGGAGAAGAGCATTATGGAACTCCCATATTTCTGGAATGCAGATGCTACCAGCACAGAGTTCTTCCAAAATCTGTAGTAGTGCATCTTTCAAAAGCTTTATTGCACTAGGCTGCAGCTTCTCAAGGGAGCTGCTTTCTCTGTACTAGCTTACTTAGCTGGCAGGGGGCACAAGAAGGGCAACTGAGGGAGACCTGAATGCCACAGTGTCCAGCATCCCTTTTCCTTGCTTCTCATTAACGGGGCAGCCAGAAGGGTTGAGTTTATTTCTTGAGAGCTTGTCTGGTCCTGTCACCCAACCACTTGACACCAGGGCCTAGCAGCCAAGTTTGAGCATCAAAGAGCTCTGAGGAATGCAGGTCCATGGAAGTGTCCAGCCTTTAAAAAAAATTATGAACATACACACATAAGCACATGTACACACACACATACCACAGAGCAAGAGGGGAATTGCTCCTGTGTCTACCTTCTAACATGAAAATCCTTGTCAGGGTAACTCTTCAGTTCCAAGTTCTGGGAGCACAAACCCTACGTGCAGCACTGGAGAGCAGGTTTGGCCCAAGGTGACTGTCCTCCAGAGATCTGGGCCTCTGAGAAGACTGTGGGCTCCACACAAGCAAGACTGCTCAGGTAGCTCCTGGGCCTTGGCAGGGCCAGGGATTGTGGGAGCCATAAAAATCCTCTTTGTCTGGCGGGGAGCAGGGAACACCAGGGTCTAATGTCACAGAAACTCATTCCCTGGGGTAGAGAACGGCCTCCAGCGATGGCAAGAGAATTTAAGGTGAGTAGAAGTTCTGGGGCTCTGAGCCCACAATTTCCTTTTCCAGGACAGTATGCCTCATTAACCCCAGGCCCCCATTCCCAGGAAAGGGGCGATGCCTCTGGCAAGCAGTGCAAAGCCCCCTGCCACTTAGGAAGCAGCTGGACTGAGCTGAGGGGTAAGAATGATGCCCAGTGAGATTACTGGTGGGTGAGGGGGGCCCAAGCTTCACTGAATGCACGGAGACTCATGGAATCTTTAGAGCAGCGGCCTTGTATGGATCGACAGAATGACTGTTTACATGGCCCAACTCTTTGGGTTCCGAAACTGTCTGACCTTGAAACTTTGGTGTTTTAAATGTTGATACATTATCCTCTCTCAAGACGCTACTATATCCTGTGGTGTGGGCATTTCAGAGCCTGAATGGAGTTCTGAGTCACTAGTGTCAGTCAGAACCTACTTTCTAGTTGAGGGACCTCGTTTTACAGATGAACCTGAGGCCTGTGGAGCTTGAGGCCACATAGCTGGTTCCTGGAGATGGGCCTGGAGCTCACAGCACTGGTGCCAGCATTTGATCTACTTCCACCCTTCGCTGAGGGATCAGTGAGGACCACTTGCATAGAACTTGTTTAATATTTTGCTTCTGAGCACTGGAGGCAGCCAGGGCAGTGGAGGGTTCACTTGCCACAGGAGAGGGTGAGGTGTTTATTTGCAGCAGCGAATGTTCCTCCGTGGTCTCACCCTCCTGCTCCCTGTTGGATAAAAACTGGACCTCCTGGAGAATACCTTAGGATGCAGTGAAAGGAAGAAAAAGTGAATAAGGAAAACTGCGTTAAGAGTTAAGGGAGTGACAGCCCTAACTGTCCCTTTGCCCCAACAGCCTTCTAACAAAATTCAACACAAGCAGCTTCTTGGAGAAACTAGGCAATGTCGCCATCTGGTGGCCACTGAGGGCATATGCCTTAGAAAGGAATTGAAAGGCCAACCCACTGATCTGATCAATTTCTGATGCAATACTTGCTGCTTCCCCACCCTCCCAGTTGAGGTTGGCACTTAGCACAGAGGGGTACCTCCTTAAGCAGACCTGTCTGGCAGGAAGCTGCGTGCCAAGTGGGTATCCTTTGTTCAGCATTAGTCAACAGGGTCTAGGTTTGGGCTGAACAGCAACATGGGGGCCACACCTACTTAGCTATACCAGTCCTTCAGGCAGCCTTTCAAGGCTCCAGTGAAGCCTCAGCCAGCCCCGTTCACAGCCAGGGGTCACCTGCTGCTCCAGGTACAGGCGAGGACTCTGCGGGCAGGGCCTCTTAGTCCTTACTGCCGACAGGTGATGCTCCCTTCCCAGCCTAATGTAGTCACTGCCTATTATGAGCTTCTCACTCAAAAGGCAGTGTCTGCTGCTCAGAGCTGGATGAACACAGAGAGCGTTTTTAAAAAGAGAGCTAAATAGTCATGGGATTATCTTATTGATCAAGGTCCAGCCATTTGCCAAGGTATATACACATTTTATTTTAAAAAAGTTTACAGTTTTCATTATACACAACTATAAGAGGTTATAGTCAGAGGAGGCATTTGTCCTGTTGACGTAAGTGCCCACTAGATCTCACAATGCAAGGGGAAAGGTGGAAGGGAGGAGACAGGGCAAGGAAAAAATAGGCGGTAAAAGCTTAATTTCAGTTAGGGGCTTAAGTCCCTTTTATCTCTTCAAGTATCACACAATATGTACCAAATACAATCAGTAAATAATGGCCATTTCTTCCCAAGCCCACAGCCAAGGCAGGTATGTGCCAAATTAAGGGTCCTGGCCCTTCCTCAGGTGAGTGGAGAACCAGCCCACCTGAATGCTGTTAACTCCACCCATCCTCCAGGGGTCCCCACTCCATCCAGTCCCTAATGGGATTGCCCAGGTGTTCGGTGGCCAAAGAAAATGGGTACATGGATTCAGAAGTCCAAAGAAATGCAGGTCTCTGCAACCAATTAGAAATGATTTGATTTTAGTCAACAAGGCCATGAATCCAGTTAGGAAGTCGATGAAAAAAGACTCTTGCCAATTTCTGTTACTTTCACTTTTCTAATCGAGTCCCTAGAATATAGGAGGGCCACACACCATTTAAAATCAAATAATAGTTCCCAGTGTCTACAAATTTGACATACAGAGGTTTGCAGAGGGTCTGTCATGATTCTCAGCCATTCCAATAGGAGGCCTAATAAAAAATGTCAAAGCTAACTAGGGCTTCAGGGAGCCTTTTGAGGGAAAAAGTTCCTTCCAGGGGAGACACTCCTCAGCTTAGATGAGCCAGTTGGCAAACAGAACAGCTTTTGAAGTGGACGAACAATGGTAGGTACTGGAAAGAAATACGGCAACTTCTGAAAAGCATCTCACTAGTAAAAAATGTTTGTTCAAACTGCACAGTAACCTCAAGGAGGACAATGAGTATGAAGCCAAAAGAGCACAAACACCAGAATCTCTCTTGGCTACCACTAAAGGCAACCCACAAGGCCTCAGTGTTGTGGCCATCTTGCTTGAGCTCAGTCATTCAAATGGACAAAGACTGGCTTGGGCTGGTAAACCACAGGTAGGGTTTCAAAAACTATGGGTACTAAGTAAGAAAGGACTGGAAACTGCTGGAATCAACTCTGACCTGCTACCACTGCCTTTCAAAGAAATAACCTTCAGTGTTTCTGAGGGTCTCTTGGATGCTCTGTTGAGGGTTGGTATGAGACAGCTTGGAAAAGCTCTTGGTACATCCCTTCTTCTCCAGCCTCACTCAACCACGTATCATTGGGGGCTGAGTGTCCTTACATTCACAGTCAGGCCTTCCTTTGCCATCCTCTGTAAGTATGGTCTCCTACTACTACCTACCTTTCCCAGGTACAGGGAAGGGACAAAAGTTAGCATAAGAAAGGATTCTGTTCAACTCACCAAAAGTCAATTTCCCAGTGGAGAGGAGAAGTCCCACACAGAGCCAGAAACATTCATAAGAACAAGATTAGTACCCAGAAAGTCAGACTTGCACAGAGAGTACAGCGTGATTTGGGGAGCAATTCCAGGAGCTTCTGATGTTTAACAGAGAAGCCTAATTACACCATCACACAGACTGGGATGGACACACACACACACTCTGCAGCCACACTCAGATGTGCTTTTTAACCCCTGCAATCTCCCCCAGTGTCCTCATCTAGGAATTATGCACCTCCAGATTTCTAGTGCTGGAGTTTTCGAGTGGAGGCAAACTGATGTCTTTTTGTTAGAGAAACATGGATTTAGTTGGGGAACAGAGCTGTGGCACTGTTCACATGCCTTCCTCCCTAAGCTTGGTTCCACTAGGTTTTCTGACAAGATGAAAAGCAATTGTTATCTGGACATTATTTTTCTGAAAGGTAATTAGAACACTATTGCTTATACAATATTGAAAAAATACAATTTTTTATTGTTTGAACTCAAATCACCACCCAGCACTTCAAGCCTACCCTAGATCGCACCTACAAGAACAGTCACAGAACAAGCCAACTGCTAATCCAGCAGGTGAGCAAGACAGTGCCGGCAGAGACCCTCCCTCCCCCAGAGTAGTAAGAAACGTGCTAGAGTTAAGAGTATACCATTACATGTTCAAGTCACCACTACCCTTCCCACAGCCACAAATGCTAGAGATAACTCAGTACGGTTAACTAACCACAGCCCTAAAGAACTGCACTTTCCATTTTTTTTAAAGAAAATCTTTTGCTTCATGCCCGTAATTAACATAAAATAAGTAAATTTTTTGTCTTTTTATTTAGGAAAATAATCATGCTAAAAGTTGTACTTTATACAGATTTTCAAAGAAAAGATTGATTGTGCTTTTTGAAAAAAGAGGATAGATTCCAACCTCATTGACTCACATCTTGTGGAATATAGTACTTCTAAACTAGAAACACACACCAGAAAGAAAAATTATCCCACTGGGACATTCAAAAATTGTCTCTAGATTTTAGGATTGACTAATTCTACTATTGTCCTATTGGTTGTGGCCAAAAAAGAAGAGAGTTGCTTTCTAAAGTTCTCCACATTCAGCAGGCAACACTCATATTTGAAAGACACTTCTGCCGGCAACCCGGATATAGGGTTAGCTGAGTAAACATCTGATCAGCAGGCACTGGATAAACTGTCTGATTTCATCGTAGCATATACAGGAGAGAAAATTTTCTTCCTTCAAAATCTGTTCTACTGTATCGTATTTCTAAATCCTTTCCTCCTATTCAGTCACACACTGAAAAAAGCTGTGTTTGCCCCATGCAGAGTCACTTTGGTTACAAGAACCTTTATTTGTTCCAAATATTACTCATTTTAAATTCAGAATGTGTGTTGTGTCTAAAATACCCACTTCCCACTCCCACAAGCAGGCGATGCCCAGGCTGCTGCCAAGCAGCAGAAGGAAAAACAAAACCAGAACATGGATGAGAGCACCCAGGAGCCACAGCCACTGGACGGGGCTTCTCTCCAAGGCTAATGGTCCACCGAGGGCCTTCCACGGAGGAGGCCCTCTCTTGGGAGGTGAAGATTAAATCTGCAACCTAAGCACAATTTGCGCTCACCCCCCCTCAAAAAACCCCAAACAAGCCCACAACCATCCTCAAATGTAAAGTAAAGCTCTTAGTCCAGGGTAGCCATCTCAGAGTGGCCAGCAATAGGATGAGGGTATGACTCTGCACCTGCTGACAGGAAACATCTTCCCAGCCACTTTTCTCCTCCTGTCCTGTCCTCTCAAAAAAGGTATGGATTACAAACTCAACCCCAAGAAAAAGAAAGGTTCAGAAAACACTTCCAAAAGGTTCTCTTTGAAAGCAAAACACTTGTGGCTGCAGGGCCTGGTAGCCAGAAGGGCAGGAATCTACATATAAAACTGTACTTAAAATCTGAGTCAAAAAAATTGTTTTACGTTTCAATACTCCAGTTAGCTCCCTGTTTTATACGGTTATTCTGCAGAAACGGGGCCAGCTAGGATTCACAGCAAGGAGCAGCTCTGACTCTGCGTGGTGGCTCTAACAGCTCCCACAGCAGCAGGCCTTTCCTCCCCAGTGTTTTCCCTTCCGTTTTGAAAAAGCGCTATTCTAGCTTCACGTCCAAGAGCTGGTTTGGTTTGTTTCTTTGGAACCATCAAAAAAAGAAGCAACCTTTTCCTTTACTCTTATCCATGTCTATCTATCAGAGCGCTTTGTCTTTTGACAGTTCAGTAGCACACAGGCTGACTTGGCCAAATGGACTTGTGAATGCATGCATTTGGACTGCATATTGCTACCAAAATGGAATGTGGGAATATGCTATGCACCTCAGGTTGAGAAATGACCAAGAAATCAAGATCTAAAGGGTGATATATAATATATATATATCAATGCTATTATTCATAAAAACCTTGTTTAGTAATAAAAAAAATTGCTTTGTTTAAATATGAATATTATAGTCTGCTTCTCATGGTTAGGAAATAATAGTCTTTCTGAAAAGCAGGTGCCTTTCTACTACAACTCCATATCCTGGGCCTCATCTTCCGAAAAGTCAGACATAGAACTCTCCGATGAGCTGTCTCCGGTGCCCTCTTCCTGCTCTTTCAGTGCCTCCTCCGTTGCATATTTCTGGATGTACTCTGCATATGGGGTGGGGATAGAGAAAACAACAAGGGCAGTGAGCAGGCAGCCATGTGCTTCCGCAACCCCAGAGCTGGCAAGTCCCAGGGGGTTCCCACGGTAACAAAGATGACAGTTGTTATGGTTACTAAAGTTAAGCGGGGAATCCCAAAAGAAATCATCTTTGGAGTTTATACATTTTGCCCCCTTAGTAAAAGAGGCAAAGCAGAACACTGGATTTGCAGAGGAATAGATACACAGCACCACCATCCTAGAACTCCCAGAGACATGACCTCCCTGGTAGGTGTGTGTGAGGCAGGCAACTGCCCAGGCTTCTGCTGCGGAGCACAGGAAAGCCAGCAGGCTTCCAGGACGACGTCTGGTGTCCACCAGCCACCAGTTCTCCAGCCAGGGCTCCTTCTAACCCTTCCCCTGTTGGCTTCCCCACATGGGTGCCCTCCTCCAAACTTGATGGATTAGAGGAATTCAAACCCTCACTTTCTATGTTAATTAAACTATTCACCTCCCAGATAGAACAGGACTAGTTATGATTTTATAATAATTTATAAGGAAATCCCCATCATTAGATTTGCAGTTATATAATTACGGTCAGCCCAAATCTATTATCTTAGGAATAGATTTTAGTCTAAACAGATTCTGTCAGGTTTTTGAAGTAGCTGGTAAAAACAGTCTTTCTATCTGCTTAGGAATGAGCTGCTATCTGGAGACACAGCTAGCCTGAGTGACTTTACCATCTATTATTTACCTGAAGATTTGTGTGGCTATAGCCTAGGCTGAATCTGTTGGCTGAAAAAAAAACTTAACAACTGCTGAATAAACAGACTTGTTCCTAAAAACTCTAGGTGCATAGTGTTTTCAAGTAAACAGCCTATATACAATAAGAAGAGACAAGACAGTTAGCAACTTGTTTGGAATGCCAGCAGGAGAAAAAGACATCCTCCTCATGTCCTTATGCTTTGCTTTCCCTCCTACAGAGACGCAGCCACTAAGTGAGAGAGGAAGGTAAGGAAGGTACATGGCCAAAGAGGACTGCCAAACTTGAATAGCTTAGTGCAAGGGTGTAGCTAAGAATCTTTTTTTTATATTTTTAAAGGGTTATTTTTTTAAAAAGAAAGAAAAAGAAGAGTGACAGAGTACACAGTCAAACCTGGATCTTTCCAGAAAAAGTTTGCAGACTATTGATTTAGAGTCCTATTAATTCATTACAATGAAATTTTATGATGAGATTTCAAATGTTCCTGACTAGAAGCTTAGGTAAGGTAGGAACTTACCTTAATTTATCTTGCAGAGTGTGAGAAATGTTTATTAAAGTCTTAGAAGTTTATCTTCAGTGGGTTGGCTACCTTGTTTCTCCCTTTGCAGAAAGAAATGCTGTGCTTTGATGTCAGTTTCTGACACTGTAGTTTGATACTATCAGCCTTATTTAGTATATTCAATGAAACAAATATATATTAAGTGCTTACTAGGACAAGGCCCTTCAGGAGATAAAGAAACGAAGAGGGAAGTCATTAAAGAGCAGGAGACAGACAAAGATAAAAGCAGCCAGCTGCTAAGTGCCACAGAGGCAAGCGTGGAGGAAGAGACTCTGGGGCAAGAGCCAGGCAGGCAGCCACATGGCACTGACCCCGGAAGGGACTGTCAGCTGCAGCATAGGAGATGCTGCTCCAGTGCAAAGGCACAGCCTTGCCAAAAGCACAGGGGAGAACAGAATGGATGAGATGTTAAAGCACAACACTGAGAGAACTATGTTTGTTTTCTTTTAAAAAAAATGTGAAACAAATACAGCAAAATTTACAGGTTTTGCTATAGCTGATGGTGGTACATGGTTAAGTTATTCTGTTTTTCTGTAGGATTGAAACTTTCCCTAAGGAAACAGCTATAGTTGGGTACCTGAAACTCATCCAATGTGACTGTCACATATTGGTATATCCGGAGGAGTAAAGGTAAAGATGTACATCACACACAGTAACAGAGAGCCCTGGACAGCAGGCTAAGATGCCGCTTAGTGAAGATTTTTGAGAGGGGAAGTGACGTATCTTTAGACAGCTCCAATGGTGCCCCACCCTACAGGCAGTCCAGTATTTATAAGACAAGACAGAACAACTAAATATGAATGCTGATTTATGTTCACAGTGAGAAAGGTTACATACACTGACTTGTGATGTTAGGTGTGGAAATGTCCAGGAGGCAGCTTGCGAGAGGTCATGACTAGACACACATTTCTGAAAATCATCTACCTAGAGGGGACTATCTAAAGCTGCAAGGGGTAAATAAGTTCCCCAAGGCATAGGGTGGAGGAGAGGAGCCAAAGATCAATCTTAAAAGAATGACCACATATAAGAATGGAATGAGAAATTTTCAGAAAGGTGAAATACCAGAGCTTCAGAGAGGTACAGGAAGATGGGTCTTTGGAAGGGTTCATTCAAATCCTCAGGAAGAAATGAGCTCACAGATTCAGGAGAGGGGGCAGAACAAACTAGACCTCAGCAGTTTAAGGCAAGGAAGCGATAAGTTTGAAAATGAAATAACAGTAAGACTGCTGAAGAGAGTCCACAGGAGCAGATACAAGCTTCCAAAACAGGGATCCCCTGACAGTCTGGGGGCAGAGGAGGACCCGCAGAGTCAGGGGAAAGGGCTAACTAGGAGGATCACAGGCAGGGGGAGTGAGTCTGAGAAATAAGTCAGGGCATTTCTTATTTCCCACAGGATGCAACAAAGATTACGTGTGGGGAAATATATATATGAAACAGTACAGAAAGTTGGGGTGAGCTGAGGTCTGACAGCCACGATCTCAGATCACTGAGGAAGACAAAATGATAGCCAACATTAACATTTCAGAAAGCTAGACATCTTAAGCCAGAGCTTGCCAGTCTAAAATAAAAACACAGGTTGTGTTCCTTTTGCAATTGGTACTACAGCAGATATGTACTAAAACAGGGGAAGTGTTAAATTGCTGAGGCATAATGAATGTAGGAATACACATATGCTCTACAGTGAGGTATCTGTGGGTTGCAGACACGGTTAAGTGATTCCTGTGTCAAAATTTTAACATAGTCTCAGAATTTTATCTGGCTGAAACTGCCTGCCTTTTTCTTGAAATACATATTTGTTTGGCTACGCAGATATTCTGCTACATAAATTTGATATTAATTTGCAAGCAACTGAGAGCTAAATAGAGTGGATTAAGTAAATTTATTTCTACTTTACTTCAACAGAAGTACCAAACAATAGAGAGACCAGAGAAGAATGAGAAAACAAAGAAACGAAGAACTGTTGTTCCACAAATAGCCCTAAATGCTCCCATTTGTGTCATACATTCAGTTACCAGTGAAGACCTGTATATTCTGGGCTTGTAAATTATTTCTACTATCACTTGCAAATGTACCTCAGAGGGCCAAATATTTTGCAGAAGTTGCCATTCTGAACTGCCACGCAAATGGGCAACTCATGCTAAAAACTGAGTAAATATCAACGCCTGCTGTTTGTTAAGAGAGCGGGCCTATTTTCATGGACCTTGAATTCCTTTTCTTCGTGGAACTTCACTTTTTACTATGAAAGTTCTCAAACACACACACACGAGGTAAAAAGTACAATATGATGCACACCAGTAAACCTGTGTGGGGCTTTATATCTCCTTTTGCAAATATATTTTCACTTTAATGTAATCCATGTCCCATCAGCATGTAAACTATTTAAAAATGGGAAAACAGGATTCAAGGTCATAAGGATGAGCAAAGTAGTGCTATTATTACTAGCACATTTCACTTTAATAGCACATTTCAAGTTCTGACAGAAAAATTCCATAGGGGCCAGGTATCTGGAGTAGAGGAGAAATGTGCCTACATGTAAACTTCCTCAAAATAAAACAAATCAGTAATGGGACCAAGAAAGGAAGCCAGTCGGGCATTTTTTAATTCAACAGATAAAATGACATATTAAAAAAAAGTCTAATGATAAATTTGGCAATTATTTCCCAACTCCCCAATTGCTTTCCTGAATTAAAGGCCAGGATGATATTGTTTGTAAACAAATGTGAGATTATGTCTTTCAATTGATACTTTACTCTCAAATCCAATTTTCTAAATTTACAGGACCATAGGGAGCAAATAAAAGAGAGGTTTCTATATGGGTGTCCACAGAGATTTCTGGCAGGGTTCCTTCTACTCCCACCCAGCAGGTAAGCCTTATGTTTTCTCATCTTTCCTTCTACTCTCTTTCCTTCCCTTCTTCCTTGCTAGTTATGTTCAGCCTTCCAAGGGTGTCTCCAACCTCTGACCCTCAGAACTAGAGGCTAGTGTACTCCAACCCACAGCTCTCTTTTAAGGCCTGAGAAAAGTTATTAGTAACTAAGAAGGGTTTTTAATGATCAAAGCCCAAGAGACAAGCTTATTCTGTCTCCAGGTAAACTATTTGCCTCCTTACCTTTAATTTTCTGCTTGTATTCTTCTGGTCGGTGGAGGTACATGGCTGCAGCATCACCATTGAGAGGATCTATGGGGTTGGGGTAGGCCAACAACTGGGGCAGGAAGGACTCAAATATATTGGTAAGATCTGAAAAAACAAACAGAAATATGTCTCATACGGAACAAGCAAGTTCACCTAAAATTCCTTTGAATTCAGTAGTCAAAACTGCTTGTCTTACAAGATCTTTAACTGCATGGAAGTTTTCCCATAAAAGTGTGCTCCATTATATGTGACCTTTACTGTGCTTTCGTCTTCTTCTTTTTTTTTTAATTAAGTTATTATTGATATACAATCTTATGAAGGTTTCACATGAGCAACATTGTGGTCACTACATTCACCCATATTATCAAGCCCCCCCCCACACCCCATTGCAGTCACTGTCCATCAGCATAGTAAGATGCTACAGAGTCACTACTTGTCTTTTCTGCTATACTGCCTTCCCGTAATTCACTGTGCTTTCTAAACTAAGAATTTAGAAATACTACATCTATTGTTTATCAGTTAAAACATGTGGCCCAATACTGTACACCTCTCTATGTTCTTACAAAATGAGCAGTTACTCTCTTAGCACTGCCTTTTTCTACAGCTTTGAAAATCTCTACTTTGAAAAGTATTCAAAGCACCGGATCTTAAAATAACTGAACCCAGTTATAGGTCTTGTCATTTAACTCTCATCATTTTCTGGTGGAGGTAAACGTAACCAGTTTTCCAATATTCTGTATAATGAGGGTAGGAACCTACATGGAGAACTTAAAATCATAATCGTAGAGGTAAGTACCAGTTCGCTGCATTTATTAATAGTCATTTTAATGAATATTTACTAACTTCTTGCCAGATTCAGCACAAGGTGCTAGGCATACAGATGATGTCTACACACACAACAGAAACACTGCAGTCACATAGTTTTATACAGGAAGTATACCTTGAACCCCTGCAACATAAACTACATGTGCCCATAACTGTATGGTCCCAAGATGCCTGAGAAGTGTGGTTTATGATGAGTAAAGAGCCCTTACTTTACCTTGGATGAGATCAGCACTTACCAAAATGCAGTCCATTAAGACTGATTCTTCAGCCTGATCTTACAGTATTAATGTTAGCAATATTATAACACCCATACCTCAGTTAATGATTATATTCATACATAATTTTACAAATACTCAAACCATGCTGATTTCTCATTAAAAGCAGCATTATTTACTCCACTCAGTCTAGAGCAATGGTTCCTAGATGAGTCTAGGACCTGGGTTATCTGCCCATCAAAATTACCCAAGGAGTTTTTTCAAAATATGCATGCCAAGGCCTCATACCTACCCCAGGGATTCTGACGTAGGACTGGCTGGCATCTATGTGTGTGTCTGTGTGTGGAAATGCACAGCCAGGGAACACCACCTAGCTTATGCATCCCTATCCCCAGACACCAAATGACAATAGGGCTATTTATTTATGGGTTCTCTGGCTCAAGGCAATGTCCAGGTTTCAGCAGCTAAGCTGCTGCAGAGCCTCTAGGGCAGCAATCCTCACACTGTTGTCTGCACATGCTGTCACCATCAATTCCTCCAGGTGGAGGTATTCCAAACTATAGGTAGGAAAGAGTGGGTCCACTTCAGAGGGGCATTAAGGCTGCTGTAGGGAAGAACTGGCAGTGATGGGTATCACCTAATATGCTGGATACCAGGCAGCACAAATTCCATTTGGCTGAATTGTCTCCAGCAAAAGGGAAGCTGGCTCCTTAGAGGTGAACAACAGATGAAAAACCTAGAAGACCTAAGTCTAATCTCAGGCCTTCCACTGACTTGGCTCAGTGACTTTGGGCAGATCTCTTCCTCTCTGCATCTCAATTTCTTCATCTGCAAAAAGAGAAGTATAATACTGCGGATACTTACAAGGAAGAATAACACATTACTAAAAACGACTTTAAAATAGGCTTTGAACTGCATCAAAGGACTAGACTAAAATATTAATAAAAATATGCCATCTTCTTAGAGTAGAAATTTCAGCTACCTGTATCCCTTTAAAGAATACAGGTTAATTAAAACGAGTCATGCTGAAAAAAAAATACACCAATTATTAAAGTAAAGCCACCCTACTCCAGGTGACTCACAAAAAGATGGCACATGGCTTAAAGGAGAAAACACAGGAGGGGATGAATCACACATCTCATGTTTTATTCTTGGCTGTTTATGAACCAGTGACCATAAATTTTTTCTTCTTCCTGTACAGTTCCTTTCAACACTAAAATGGAAACTTTTGTAAAGCATGTTGCTATCTTCAGGTTAAAACCCTGTGGATGCCCAAAGCTTGACATGGTCTGCCACCCCAGGAACCACACTTATTAGGCAGGCAGTCTTCTCAGAGACTTTGACTTGCATAATCTTTATTTGTTTTTCAGGTTTAATGCACAAAATGCTTTAACTCAGAAACCACCACCATCATGTAGTACAGTCACGGTCAGGAGTCACAAAACTATAAAGCCACTCCTTCCTTCTCAAATGCCACCTGTCCCACTCCCTTACCTACTTCTTGACTCCAAGATGCCCAATGACCTGAGTTCCCCTTTAAAAAAAAAAAAAAAGCCAAAGGAACAAAACACAGAAAGACTTGTTTGGAGAAACATCAGTTACTTGCACAGAAGTGTGAATTCCGTGATATTTTTATTTTCAGAATTAGCTTCATATATTCATACTCCAGGAAGCTCACCGTGTTACAATATCAAAGAGAGAAGTCTATGCTTGTAACTACCCAAAACTTTCTACTGGGTCCTTTATACTTCTGGTCTTATCACACTTGACACACCTAAAATTGTTTCTCTGAAAACCTATTCCTTTTTCCTAATCCCTGGGTTGACTCTAACATCCTTGTCTTTAGGCTCCAAACCTCTGGAATGACCCTGGTTAAGCTTTCCTTCTTTACTGCACATACAGTTTCCCAGACTCACTATTTATGCTAATGAAATGCTTCGGATTCCTCTTTTGTTTCCCATGGCATGTAACTAAGTCAAGCCTAATATATCATTCCAGCCCTGGATCAGGGCAACCATCTCCTGGATGAACTTCCAGGCCCCCAAGCTCTTGCTTCTGTAATCAGAGAAAGCTTCCTTAGAACAAGTTCCTCTTGTTTTCCTTCAAATTATTCATACTCCAGAAGCATCCTACCCAAACACACTCAGGGACCCCCACCCCTCAGACTCCTGGCTTTCCAAGTTGAGAATCACTGAGCTAGCTGTGACTTCTTAGGTATTTATCTGTTCTGTATTTCAGAAGGGAGCAGGGCTGAAAGGAGAGGAAGAAAGAGTCCTGATCACAATTAGAGAGGTAACAGGATGGGCAAAAATCACAGCTTGTCAATTCTAAGGTCTAGAAATGGTGATTCTCTGTGACTTACACCAGATACTCCTCTGTCTGTGGGCTTTGGGCCATTATAGTTGAAGCTAATTGTCAAGTAATTGAGATCACCTGGGAATTTCAACTGTTAGTCATATCCTTGATTTACTAGAGAGAATCAGCAGCTGATCATTCAAAATTCCATCAAATGACCTTTGCTCATCTTTCAAGGAGTTGTAATGCATCATGAACTGCTAGGGCAGTCATGAACTTATGATATGTGTCCAAAGTAAAGCCAACCACAAAATCCCATTTCACTCATTCTAGTTTTGCCTCATTTTTTTTTTCCATTGCAGTAGTGGTGGTTATCTGCTATATGTAGAAAACACACACATACAAACATACATGTAGTCAAATTTTTCTAAGACTGAAAGAATACATAAAATATCCATATTTCCTTTGGTTATCTAATATTTGGGATTAATTAATAGATCTTTGCTTTTCTACTCTTTCATCAGCATTTAAGAAGTGGCAGTATTAATAATGGATTTGTTTTTTTACTTGAATTTTCTCCTGTTTACAGCCTGCAAACACTAAGAAACAGTGAAATTCTGCCCCATAAAAGGAGAAGTCTTCCATGTCTTTAACTGGAGGAACAGCATCATATAATCAAATAGTTGCTATATACAAAAGACTTGGTAAGCAGTGGGCCCTAAAAGGTAACACATTCCCTTGAAGAAAACTTTAATAAAGGAAATTACAAGGAATGCCCTCAGACAGGTAGGCAGACTTGAAAGAAGAAATAGCTTTGAGATTAAAAATAACATTCTCTAAATTACCAAAGGGAAAGGGACTGGGGAGGATGGGTGGGAAGGGAGGGATAAGGGTGGGGAAGAAGAAAGGGGGCATTACAATTAGCATGTATAGTGTTGTAGGGGGGGGTACGGGGAGGGCTGTGCAACACAGAGAAGATAGGTGGTGATTATTCAGCATCTTGCTACGCTGATGGACAGTGACTGTAGTGGGGTGTGTGGGGGACTTGGTGAGGGGGGGTAGCCTGGCAAACAGAGTGTTCTTCATGTAATTGTAGATTAATGATAGCAAAAATAGAAATAAATAAATAAAAGTAACATTCTCTAAAATAACTAATTCGAACCCAATTTCAATGAGGAAAGCCTATTTCTGTAGTTGTTTTGAGGACACACATGTGGCAAGGTAAAGAAGACCACCACAAAGACTTTCTGTGGTACTGCGGCACTGGCCAGAAGGCTTGAAACACTGCATTTAGTTTACTGAATGCTAACATGCTGCTAATGGAATAGTATGTCCAGCCACCAATCTGCTAGATGACAACTTCAAGAATGGATCTGGTTATTTAACTGAAAGAGTCTTCTGTGTGGATAAAAAATGTCTGAACTTGTAAGATTTACACGTTTTCATGCTAGCCCATGAGGATCTTTTAAAGATAAGAATAAGGTCTCATCAGAGGGTCACAAAGGCAAAAACCCAAACACCTCTGTTCTCACACCTCTCAAAAAAAAAAAAAAAGAGAGTGAGTACAATTAGTAGGAATAAGAACTGGTAAACATTCAGGGAATTTTTGCAATATACCTGATATACTTAATCTCACTAGTGGTAGCATTATAGTTTTTAACTATTCCAAGCTAAAAACAGGTATTACTGCCATACGTGGGAAAGGGCAATGTCCAAGACTCAGCATACTAAAACCTGGAGGAGTACCAGCTACATTCTGCTAGGTGCCAG